CTGGTTGTTATCATGTTTTCTCTCTTTATCCCTGCGGTTGATTTGTAACAGCAATGCCTGCTTTTATCTGAGTATCGTACTTTTTTCACAAATTGATATTCACTTTCAGGCTCATTATTGACCGTGGTTGAATGAACCTCAATTTAGAGTTCTGATGTTTTAGTAGGAAATGCAATCACAATCATAGCTCATAGTATTAAATGGGTTAGCCCTAGACTACTTATTTCTCGCTACCCTCCACTACCACAGCCAACAGGAGGCAGATTTCATGGCGCTACTCGGTTCCTTTTTTCGTTGGTACTTCCGCGTTTTCTCGGGAACCGTCCAACACATTTTAGAATGCCTACAAACATCACTTTTTGCAAAAGAGCGTGTTTATTTGTTGCCCGTTTGTGTGTCACTACGCAAAAAGTCACGTGTAGAGTGAGGAGGAGAACGAATGATGACAGGTAGGCACGGTACGGAAATTGTTACGAAATAGGAATCCTACTGATACTGTGCCGTCATTAAGTGGGAGTCATGACCCATTTCTTCTTTTTTTGGTATGAGTCTTAACTGGGTCTTTCCAATTACAATCAAACCTTAAAAAAGAGGGGAGGTGGGTGGAAAATAAAATTTGATCGAAAATATAAATGCAACTGTTCTTGATTGCGACGAAATTGACAAAATCCTTTACTTTTGAACCCACTTTGTGTGATTTCAGTTATATTACCAAAGCGGAATTTGGAATGAAGCAGTATCGTGTATACGAAGCATGAAAAATGTTTCCGTCTTTTGAGTAAGTTCCTAGATAAACGATTAAGGAGATATAAGGCTCGCGTTAGCGGAGGCCAACTGGTAATGATGGTATTATATTAAGTATATGTCATCAAGTTGATTGTTTGGATTAACCATGTTCGACCTATACCGTGGTACCATTTGTCGTCCCGCACATCATCGATTTCCTCGAGAGGAAACTAGTAACGCCTTCGTTTGTCCCTGTAGCGATCCAGGGTGTTCCAGAGGCTTGTCTCGCTGACACTCCTTCGGTTCAAAGTTTTCCAAGAAGTCTCTCCATCGCGCTGACGGCTGTCCTAATGTTCTTTTGACACTCCGAGGTATACAGCAGTCAGTGACCGCTTTGCTTCAAAGGTCATCACATTATCGCATAACGTTACGGCCTACCAGGTTTTAGCAATTTCTTGGCGTTAGCATGGCATCCCTGATCTCCATTTGCTGAAGGAGCTCGAGATTCCGGATTCCCTTGTGCACTTGCGTGAACAGGGGAATTCCGAGCATCGTCCCCTCTACAGAGCTTTAAATGACGCTAACTGCAAGCTCATCCTGTTCTCGTGGAGGCGAGTCTCCGAGGCAAAGGTCAAAGCAGGAAGCAGTGTTTGGCGAGTGCGGAATCGGATGTCCTTTGTCTTCTCCATTGGTTTATCGATGTTCTTAAATGCTTCCCGCGCGGCACGTTTCCTTCTGCTCAGCTCCGGAGCTAGGTTGTTCAGTATTCACTTTCCAACCTCGATACACGTAGTTAGAGCATTCGGAAATATTTAGCTCGAAGGGAACATCAGATACTAATCCGTTTACCGAAATACCATCTTTGTCAAGATCAGTCTTGAGCCGACCTCTCCACGAGCGCTGTCGTGGTTACCCAGGCATCGATTCTCGCTTCCACCTGGACGTTATAAAAAGTCTCTTCAAATTGATGAACTTGAGACATAACGCACCTGACTCTCCCTTGAGTCCTGAGACATTGAAACATTGAAATCGATTGTGCTGAACCCTCTCCGAAAACCTGCTGGCTCGCACGGCTATCCTTCTTTCAATTCAGTTCAGGATGACGCGTGTGAAGATTTGTAGATTACAGACAGCAAGCGGAATGGGCGACAGATGCCAACATCTTCGGGATCATCCTTCTTACACAGCATTACATCTTGCTAGTTTTCCACGACGTTGGCACTTTGCATTCACTTTGGTCGAAGAGAGCACTGAAAGAACGACATATCCATCCTGCCCAATGGTGAGGAGGGCAAACGTGGCTGTTAAAGAAATCCGACCAAAATTCGTCGTAGTTGACCTTTCCCAATGCCCTTCGGGAATTCTTCCGCGAGATCGAGGAAAGGAAGATCGCTCCGATATGTATGTTTATTTGCTTCAGCCTTTCCAAGATTCTACACTTTATAGGGCTAACGTTTCGGCATATCGGTGAAAAGTCATGCCAAGATTAAAAGAAATTCAATCGTGGTATATTCTAGAAGATCACTCCGTTTTTGTATTCAGCAAGGCTCCGACGAATTTTGTAAGTGCTCTTGCCGGCCTCGGCGGCATCGTCCTTAATTGCTGCTCTTCCCTTTTTCAGATCTTCTTTTATCGCTTCTCTGCGTAGCTTCGCAAGTTTGGACGTTTGATGATGCTTGTATCTCGCGCGATTCTTGTTCTGATGTATCAGCTCAAGAAGACGTCATGGAAACTCCGCTTTCCTAGCACTGTTAACAATATATTCCACGAGCCGCTTATGTTTCTCATCGACAACGCGATCTCCTCATAAAGCTGCAATGGAAACAAAGCAATCCCTGTTGATGACGTTCTGGAGGCTTATCTCCTGGATTTCGCAGCTCCCACCTGAGGCATTGTAAAATAGAATACATCGCGAATTATGGTTCGATCTCGTGTAGAACTTTGGAACAACATCAGTTAGGCGAATTTTCGTTGATGAAGATGATATTCTTCCAAAACATCATTTGTGATTGACTCGGAACTCAGACATTTTATAATGAATAAAATGTCTGAGTCCGAGTCCATCACAAATAATGTTTTGGAAGTCTAACCAATGGTTGGTGTGGGGACTGCCTTTCACCACGCTCATTAAATACAAGTTCTCAGCCTCCTCGTGAAACTCTACAGCCGTTCTCCTAGAGCCATTCTTAGCTACAAAATCGTCGGCGATGATTTTAAAGAATATGATATCCTCTGCAAAGCTATCTAGCTCTACAAACGCTTTCAACTCCTTCACTAGATCTTCACCACAAGCTTACGTAGCAAGCGTTCGGGAATTGGAAGTAAAGATTGCCAGCTCAGTCTTAATTAATTCACTAGAACAGTCTGCTATATCTCTAAAATTTCAGCAGCCTCTCCTAAGCGGTTCTATCTAACGCCGCCGTTTTGAGTTCAAGATAGTTAGGTCCACTAATTTTTCTGTTTTGGTATATGGGCAGCCAGTTGGTTGCCAAGCTCTGATGTGGGAGCTGGGTATACCCCGCGCAGCTAGGAATCCTGTCCAAGATGGGTTATTGTAAATTTGAGGGGGCTTATTATCACTTTCCGGCCACTTCCCAGTCACTCGAATGGAAACCTTTGGCCGATTCTGTGTGCAGCATACCAACTGTAGAGTCTCCACATACGAATGCATAGATACACCTGCGACTAGGCAGAATGTATAAATCGACCCAGCACAGCAGAAACAGAGATCCGATCCCCCTTATCTACCTGTGTCGTTGATGACCGGTGATTCTCGTTCCGCTATTTACTCCCCTATCAGCCGCCGGGATTGCTGTCACAAGGGCTATACGTAAGGGCGTGTTGGTAGAATCTTAAGAACACATTGGATTAACCCATTGACGACCATGACCTTTTGCGGGAAAAGCGCCGCGTGGGACCGGCGCGCTTTTCGTCCTTTCGCGACTGCAGCCCACATATGGGCTACATGTTCCAGCATGACCATTTTTCAAGTTAATAAGAAAAATTCATAAGCTTCTCGGAATACTCCTTAAGATGGGTTTGGTAAGAATGCCCACATTGAGTGATTATTTATCTTTATTATAGAACCGACACTCAGTCTGATGGTCATTCAATTAGGAGTTCAGCAGCAATCAATTATGTGTTCAATCATTACTAGAAATCGTTTCGGGGAACTTTCACGAGCTTTGCATTCGGTCGATAACAGCGAAAATGCTGATGGCGACCGTATTTTCAAAGTATCTCATTTTTTGAAGTTGTTCAACGAACGAAGAATTCACCAAGGTAATGTACTCCTTCGAAAAAACACCTTTACAATTGCAAAATTAGAAGATTTACCAGAACCACGCTGTGTAGTTTTATTTAGGCCTGATGTAATGTTTTGATAAGAAAAATTGTAAAAAAGTGGAAATATAGACGAATAAAACAAAAAAAAACAACTGTAGTCCACATGTGGAATGCACGGTCCCACATGGCCGAAAAAGTGCAGTCCACATATGGATTGCATGGTCGTCAATGAATCAATCTCGCAATCTACTGTTTCAAATGTGTCTTAGAAGACGGTTTTTGCCAAAAGTTACCTTAAAACAGCCATGTGAACAGTTGTAAAGAAGATGTACTAGAATATTCCGGTGACAGCTGCTTCCCAACGTTTCTGGTCAGTTTCTATTTTCTTTGACCCTTCCCTGCCCTTTTGCTTGTATCTTTCCCAACGAAACAACTTCCAGTTGCAAATGCTCTACAGTCCCACTAACCACAATGCCACTAAAAGAACAAGGATCATACCAACACCCGTTTGCCAGTGCTCCTTGTCGGATCCGTCTTCCAGAGATTGATTGCTCGTTTATTATTTACTCATTCGGTCACAACTGACCGCTATAGAGTCAGGAAAAGCAGCTACGATATAAGTCATATGCATGATGTGACTATCAGCTTAACCTCGCCATTTGGAGGCTTCGTCACATTTTTGGCTATAAAATCATCATTTTTCGCTTACGCATCACCTCTGTGGGAGGAGTTCGGTCAGCGGAGCCGTCACCTGTGCTCCTAACAAACTCGAACGCTCTAGGCTTATGGCAACAGGGGTAAGTCTGTTAAATATTTCTTTCGCGCAAGCCACTCCACTTGTAGGCGGAGCTCGGCACCATCGGTGTTCTCATCCTGGCGCTTGTACTCCAACAAACCTGATTTTTGAAGGCCCAACTTGTAGATTCCCTATCTGTGCCCTGTATTCCTCATGCTTTGTTTCAAACGAATTACGCATAATAAAACTTCACCTTGAAGCTCGACTTCTATAATAAGCAGTATAAGCAGCAGCAGTAGCACCTAAAAAAGATTGTTTCAATAACGGGATTGAGGACATTGTCTATTACGAAAGCCTCCAGGTAGTGAGTGCTAGTAGGCGAATCTTGAACTAGGAAAAAAGGTGTTCAGGGACGTGTGATTCGCGGCATCTGGAGTTGATGCAGAGTTTGATACGTTCCCTGTGCGCGGACGGTTGAAGGGATTACCGTGATGTATATTTTGATCTGGGTGATTGAACGGTAGGCCATTATTGCAGTCTTGGGCAAAATTCACGATAGTTTTGGAGTATCTAGTTTGAGATAAGTAATGTAAGTATAAGTCCAGTATAGTGCAAAAATGGCGAAGAAAACGCGAAAACGGCTTATTTGGGAAATATAAGGCTCCGAGAATGTAGCAAAATTAGGCGCTGCATGAGAATGTGACCACAAAAGTTGCAAGGAAGGAGTATCTATACAAGCTGCCCGAATGTGCGTGCCGTTGCATACGCTGGCTACAGTAACGTGTGCATCTTGGTACGAACTGCGCAGCCTCTGCAGTCTCTTCACCTCCGTAGGTACTTGCCCGTTTTGATATGTGCGTCGGCTGAACCGGGGGCACTTTCTAAGCCTCTTTTCGACTTTACAACATCCATTGTGCTATCCTTGAGAGTCACTGGTTCATTCAGGGAAGAAATCGTATATACCATTTTTGTCGTGAGCTGTTCTTTTAAGGTGCGTACAACATAATAATATGAGTTTATACCTCTATGGCGAGTTCTGAAGCGAAGTACACAGACTCCATTCCCCTGTGGAAATGTTGAAAGACAATAACTGCTGTTAAGGAGACCAACAATGCACAAATCATCTCAAATTTATCGTTACAAAAGAATTTCCGCGATAAGGTGAACAAATGTGGATGTAGCAGTTCTTACCTGTATATACAACAAAAAACCTTTTAGTACAAAATAAATATCCTGACGTTGCTTTGCCCGTCGTACGCCATTCCTAGTATTACTCTTCTGATTCTTCAAGTCATATCGGTGTATAGAATCTATTCGGCTCACTCTGTTAAACCATGACAGCAAATGGCCGCTTGGAATTCTCGAATGGCCTGCCGATCACGCGATCGCGCAGCAAGCGCGAACAGCTCCTTATCAGTATACTCATTTTTCTGAAATACTAAGAGCGAGGATCTACTCTTAACACTGACAAGTTCTATTACAGGGATTATACTTTGAAGTTCATCTAAGAGGGTAAGGCTTACTGAGTTCTTGCAATTAGGAAATGCGAATTTTTCAGATTTAGGTTGTGTTTGTGGCTTTTTGGGTACCTCGGTATCTATCATGACCTGTAAGAGGTCTCATCTGGTCTCTATTAATATTTCGTAACTGATCTGTTGCTCAACAAACGACCTCGTTTAACGCGCATCCATGTGAAAAGCATGTTTGTGCATACTGCGGGCTACGCCGTATCGCTGCTGCGCCTTCTGTGTCCTCCAAAGCTTTCCAAAGAAAGTTGTGAAGTCAAAGTCTTTCTCCGTGATTTTACTTTTTTCTAATGTCCAACACTAACGTCAGAATATTCATGATCAAGGTACGCACTTCATGATTCACACACCTCTTCAGTGGGCCGTTGAAAATCTTGTGGGAGAAGTACATGTTTCTTTGTTAACAAAAAATATTCATCTGACACAAGGTGGGTTTGTAGTGGGCGATTAAAGTCAATGCAAAGTGATTACCGAAAACGCCACTACAAACTTCTCATTATCAGATCCTTCCTTCCACTCGAGATTTCGTCCTTATCCACAAGCAAACTGGACCCTTGTTAATTGCCATGGTGACATTGTAGTCTCATGTTAACTCATGCACTAACTAAGTCTTCTGCTCTCTCTCTCTTCTGCTTCGATTTTAATCATCATAATAAGCAATTATTTATGAGCGTTACATAAAAATTCTTGAGGTTTGCATACAAATAAGGTATTCCCAATCGCAATAGACTCACATTTTTATACCGTTCTTCTCTTTCGCTTTTGCTCGATATACTCCTTGGATGCCGTGATCTCTTGGATTTACTGAAAACACAATTCGCATAAGTCTTGCAGTGTTGTCCGGTACCAGCCTCTCCTCTCGGAAACGAAGTTAATGGGCGCTGTTGCTCATAAAAAGGAGTTGGGTTATCTGGCACGTTGTGCTAGGTCAAAATACTATATATTCTCGGCCTAGAAACTTTCCTAAGCACAATTATGGATTTATTTCCTTATCTGCGCTCCAGCGCTCAATCACCTCAGATTTTTGTAAAGACATACATAGCACGATGCCAGTTNACCAAGTTACTGCCTTATGTATAAGAAGGGAATGTGAGAGGTAGGCTTTCCATATCACTGCCTTTATCGTAATCATAATGTTTGCGGACGGACACACCGACAGACATACCGACAAACCGACACGCCAAGATTCTGCTTTATAATAAGAGAGATTATGACTACCCTTGGGCTTGAGCGGTCACTGATTAAATACTTCAAAAGGTCAAATGAGCGCTAGGACGGCCACTAGCTCAAGGTTAGACTTCTAATCGAAAGTACCGGACGAAAGGAATGCAATGCTCCGTATCCCTCGAGCGAGAACGATTCATTGCACTGCTCTTGCACGCAGCAGGGAGTAATGAAGATGTTACGACTACCCACTAGAGGCAATCGATGAACAGTGGGACGACAGGTGACATGTATAAAGAACAGAAAGAAGTGATTTTATAATTTATTGATTCTTACTCCGTAGGAACTAAGGCCGAAAAACGACATCCGCGAAGATAAATGAGAGAATCTCGAGCATCACATCCCTATTCTGGTGGAACCTTTGAAGACATTGAGGGTTCTGATCTGAAGACAATTGACAAGTGAAGGCAGCATACGGAATGCAACTCGTACCGCTAGGAGTGTCTTCAGATGCTGGTCTGGAATCTGCTCTCCAAATTTGCCAAACGATTCTTTGAACGAAGCTCTAAAGGAGGTTTTGGAGAGCACACAAAATAAGTGGACGGAGACACCATTCTGTCGGATCTGCAATGGTGGCTTGGAGCAGCGGCAGTTGTGACGCTTCGTGTGTCGGATACCATGGTACGGGTACTGTGGGAGCCAGGTTTTTACACATCATACGACATTTTTCTTGACGAATGAAGGAGAAAGTCTTGGATTTCCAATCAGAATCGTAGTGGCATAATGAACAATATGTGAGAATCTAGCAGGATGTTTAGTGTAGAGCTTCCTCTTCTTCTTCTTTCCCCTGACTTTAATCCCGCGCCGTCGCAGGGTCAGCTATTATTGTCACTCGTCTCCACTGCCTTGCATCTATGGCATCTTCTGCCCTTACTTTAGTTTCGGTGAGGTCCTTCGTGATCACGTCCCGCCACCTCTCCTTTGAAACTCCTCGTGGTTGCACCCCTTGAGCTCCATTGCCTCTCTTATCGGATGACTCGGTGGTCTTCTCAGCACGTGTCTGCACCATTGTAGACGCTGCTTTGTCATCTTAAGCTGGACAGGAGCTGCATGCATGACCGCTCTGACGTCTTCGTTTCTAATCCGGTGTAGCCGCGTCCAACCGCAGACCCATCTGAGCATCCTGATCTCAGTAGAGTGAAGCTGTTATCCATGATTTCTATTCATGGGCTACCGCTCACAGCCGCAGATTATCGCGGGCCTAACCGCTGTCCTGCACACCATTACTTTGAGTGCCCTGGAGCACCTACGGTCGCGAAGGATACCTTCCACTTCATCGATGCCGCGTTTACACGGGATATTACGGCCTGATCCACGCTATCAGCGGCTAGATCACTCTTCAGGTATCAAAAGTCCTGTACTCTTTGTCCTGTGACTTCCCGAGACCGTTTTCGATTGACTCCGTGCACTCCTCAGAGCTGAGAAAAACTTGGCTCTCTTCATGTTCAGCAGTAGCACATTATACGCCAACGTTTCTTACCATTCCTGCAGCTTGTCCTGGAGCTCTTCCATGCCTCCCATCTCAGAGCGATGTCATCAGCGTAGAGGAGGGTCTTCACTGGTTCATCCATCAGTTCGTTTGTGATGACATCCAGTGTGAGTAGGAAGAGGAAGTGTTCTGGCGCGTGTCGTTTTCGGAGCGCTCTCCAGAGGACCTGTCGCAGAACGCGGTAAAAGGCCTCCTCCAGATCGAGGAAGGCTAGGTAGCAAGATCTACGCTTTTCTCGATACTTCTCCATAGATTGTCTGGCTATGAAGATGGCATCCGTTGTAGGCCGTTCTGGCTTGAAGCCGAATTGCTCCCGTGCGATCTGGATGCTTTCCTTCAATGTCGAGTCGACTAACCGCTCGTACAGTTTCATTGTGTGAGCAGGCAGCCTGATCGCCCTGTAGTTGAACAGTCCATCGCATCCCCTTTCTGCTTGGATATGGAGATGATGGTGCTCTTCCATGCATCTGGGATTCTTCCTTCAGTGGTCACAGTGTTCAGGAATCGGGTGAGCCACCTAATCTGGTACTCTCCAAGCGCCTTCCATGCCTCGATCGGTACTCCATCCGGACCAGTTGCCTTCCCAACCTTCATCTTTCGTATTGCCCTGCACATCTCATTTTCAGTCCAAAGTGCGCCGGGACTAGCTGTGGCTTCTAATTGAAGGCTGCTCTCACAGTGGTGCTCTTCGTTCGGGAGCCTGTCGAAGTATCTTTTCCAACTACGTCTGAGCTCACTGGTTTTCTTAGAATTGTAGGTGTTCTTAACGAACTTCACCACCCCGATGTCTTGAGCAGCCTTGTGCCGCGCTTTCGCCAGTCTGAACACGAACTTTTTTACTTGTCGGCCATCAAGTTTCTCGTTTAAGGCGTCCATTTCCTTTGTGAGTCTCTTGGAAGTTCTGTAGGCAGCCAGGTCTCTTGGAGCTCGCGTTTTCTGCCACCGCTTGCAGGCGGCTTTCCTCCGCCTCACGACTTGCTTAACTTCATCGTTCCAGAACCATGCTTCCTTGTCTCCAAGAAGCATGGTTCTGGAACGATTGTCTGTCTCGTGCTTCCTTGTCGGAATTCACCTCGGCTTTCTCCCAGCGTTTCCCTCGCACACTGTAAGATGACTACCACAACATTGCTCCGGGTCTGGTGGATCGGTCCTCCGGGATCTGAAAGACCAATTTCCAGTATCTTCCGATTGAGCTCCTCTCTTTCGACCCGGTAATAATATGAATACTAATTATACTCAAATATGCTTCGGCTACTCATCGACGACGACACGCGGAGTTTCTTGAGAAACTCCAGCCCGGCCTTCTTTCATTGATTTCCTTAAGAGCAGCAACAGTGGTGCGTTGAGAAGCGCAGGCTTTCTTCTGCAGTATGCTTTGTATCAACCGACCTATTGGATTGTGGTCCAGAAAATTCGTAGGTCAATTAGAAGCTGGGATTGAGTGCAATCATTTCCTCAGCACCAGTCTTGGTCCTTTTCCATTCGCGAGCGAGTGCTTTGTAAATTGTCTAGCCCAAAAAACCATAAAAGAGAGAAAATGGCTGCAGACGCGATTTGACTCTTCTCAGCGATTTCAGCACTGTAGTGTGAAACATACGTATACTCTGGGACCTCAATATTCCTTCCACGCTAAACACCCTCTCGTCAGAAAAAAAGTATGTCGAAGCGCGTGCCGCGCGCAAGTAGCACTCGGCATTTGTTTTTTCTCCCCAACTTGTTCTCGTCAAGGAGCTTATAAGGCTTTCGAACCCTAAGTGGACACAAATGTATTTGCTCTGGGAAGACTACTCTCATGGAAGTAGAACATACAACCGAATCAGCAGTCATTTTTCTCGTATTTCTGCGGGTTCCGTAGCGTAACTCTTCCCAAGCAATTGTATTCTGAAAGGGGGGCGTATGTGACATAAAACGACCGTTCGATATTTGTCATTGATCTGTCTAGGCATCGCGATTCAAGAGACTGTCATGCGGGAAATGTCGGAAAGAGTAGCGATCAAGGAAAAGGACTCAAGAAATGCGCGCAAAGACGGAACGGGTGGTGTATGTCCGCGAAGCTCCTCCGTTTTACAAAATCTGACGGATTGAGAGCACCAAAGTGGGCATGTGGACTAAGGTATATCGTAAACATAAGGGAAGGTGCAAATTCGCAGAAACCCTCCAATCGAGCAAATTATGGACATCCGAAAAATTGTTACCATATTTATGGCGCACCCTGTATGTGCAGCCGGCGATCCCTGTACTTTCTCGAGAGTCAATTCTTCCTCAGTATCGTAAAGTGCAATTGAGTGGCCTCAGTGAGTCCGACGATGTCATACTTAATGACGTCCTGCCTCCTGCTGAAGATTTTCCCTGCACCCTTTCGCGGTAGCTAGTAGGTCTAGCGATCATAGATTACCACCTATGCTATCCTCCATCCAATTAGTCTCTCGTTGACTTGAAATTCGAACAGTTTCTTGGGAGAGGTTTTATCTAGATTAGCCATTGCTGTGAAGGGCTCTCTGATATCTACTAGCAAGCTGACTTTCCACAACTTATTATGTATGATCTGAACTCTACAGCGAAGTCGTAGACGTCTCATGTTGCTCTTCCTGGTGTTGCCGACTGATGACATTGATAAACAAATCGACGTTCATAGCTACTCTTATAATAACGGATGCAAAAGTTTGGTAGATATTTTCAGGTTGGTGAATCCAAAAAAGTCTTCTGGTATCTGATATTTAGATGAATAGGACACTTTCCTGAGGCGTAAACATGTAGGCTTGTCGCCTGCTTCAGCCGACGACAGATTGCTCGAGTGGTGGAATGAAAATTAAGGCTCACAATTTTTCTCGTAAGGATAACATGAGAAAAACATTCGCGCTAATGGGTTGTGTTTTTATCAACTATCACATATTGTTCCGTTAGTAACGTCCCCACTCGTCTTTGTCGTGAGCCAGTGTAGTCTAGTGGGTCCTCTTTGATCAAAAGATACTTACTTTATATAAAGCCCTCGCATCCGTCTGTCCGTCCGTCTGTCTGTCTGTCTGTCTGTCTGTCTGTCTGTCTGTCTGTCTGTCTGTCTGTCTGTCTGTCTGTCTGNGGGGGGGGGGATGTGCGAACAAAATGTTTCAGCGGAAAGTCAAAACTCCTGTCCCTAAGAACCAGGAAAGTTCAAATTTGGTAGAAGTACAGGAAGCAGGATGGGAACATTTATGGAGGGTGGCAGGACCGAATCGATTCAACAAGGTGCGGGGTTTGTGCCGCCAAAATCGAATAAATGTTTGAGTGGGAAATAACAACTCCTGTTTTAGTGGACCTAGAAAATTCGGATTTGGTAAGAGCACCCGAGGCAGTGTGGGAACACTAATGGTAGGTGGCAGGATCGGGCCACAGAGGGCGGAATGTGCGCCAAAATTGTCAGTTTGGCCCTAGGACGTTCCAACTTGGCAGGAGTATAGGCGGCAGGATGGGTACACTTATGGTAGGTGGGAGGACCGGACCCTGTAGCGGGCGGGGTTTGTGCGAAATAAATTTCTGAGCGAAAATCCATACCCCCTGACCCCGCGGACTTGGAGAGCAAAATTAGTGGGAGTAGAGGGGGCAGGATGGGAACACTGACGATAGAAGAGGTCTTAGAGAACAAGATCGAATCACCAATTGAATCCTAGCGCCTTTGTTATTTACGATTTGGCTTTGATTCTTTGATATGTTTCATTCGACAAGAAGGGTGAGTGCACTGATAGGGACCGATTATTAAATTAGGTTCACTTCTTGCTTACGACCGCTTCCGATTCATGAATGATCACGGTAACTCTCTGCTTTGGTGTTATTCATAGCAAAACTTACCCGGCCGCTAAAAATCATGGATTCTCATTTAATGATGTATCCGTAGAGAAAAGGAGCTACATTCATAAACACATCT